CTCTCCCACAGGGCAGAACAGCCTCTCCTTCTGTTCCTCTTGTGATGGCATTTCCCCTTCTACACAGCAGCCGGAGCTGTTCCACAAGATAAATCACATCAGGTCATGTCACGTCCCTGTGTGTGGTTTTGCAGTCTGTTCACGTTCCTTAGTTGTCGTTTAAACTCCCAGAAGGCCCCACAAAAACCTAGCCCTACCCCTTGTTTCCCATCCTCATGTACTCTACCCGGAGTCAAGCCTCCCTCAGCTCATAAAACTTCCCCGCTATGGTCCCTTTTCTGCCTGTCTCTCCCCCTTCAAAGACTTGGGCTTCAAGTATACTTCCTCAGAGAAAGGTTCAATGAACATCCTTTCTCAGGGAGGTTCCTCTTGTTAATCTCAAAACATCTTTCTGGCTTCCATCAAGGCACTGATCTAAATATATAAGATTTCTATTCATGTTTATTTATAATCTGTTTCCCTCAACTAGATGGTAAGATTCACAGGATAGAAACCATGTCTATCTTACTCCCTATTGTTCTCCCAACATCTAACCAAGAACTTAACCGCTTGATGAAAGAATGGATCAAGGAGTGACTAGTGACTAGTGAACAAACAGATGAGTGATGAGGAGTCAATGGCACAAGAAGGAGATGTAGCAAATCCTCAATTACTCACAATCTATGTTGAATCAAACTGCTAATAGTCTTTGCTATATACGACGTTTAAAAAAATAGCTTCCACTTGGCACCAAAACCTCCACACTGCATCGAGTCCAAGTCTCCTTCTAAGATTTCTTTGCCAGCTACCAGATTCCTCTTACCCCAGCACAAGCACAGGCCTGGTTTCCAGACCCAGTCTGGTAGGAGAAAGCAAAGGAGATAGAAAGTTCTCAACCCCAGTAAAACCTCTCCTTCCTCATTCTTCCTGGGGAGAAGCCAGCCAGGGAATTCCTTTGGCTCTTCCAACACTGCTTCTATGGGTAACAAATCCCCCACCTCATGGCTAAACGTTCTGGAATTCAGGCTTGTGCTCACTCTGCACATGCTGGTGTTTCTTCATTTCCCACACCATCCATCCCTAGTATCAAGCTGTGTGCCCAAACTTGCTAATGCCACATCTGTAATTTTATGAAGTGAGTCCTAAAAAATTTGCATATGTTTCCCATCAAAAAGGCATATTCTTTTCTAGCAGTTTAAGAAATTAAAAAAGAAATGGTCTTATGTTCTAGGTTTATATAATCACACAAGTTCACAGTGAGAACTGACACATTCAAATGTCAAGGCAGGTGTGACATTAAATCTCATGAGGTGTCTTGATTTAGTTGCTACTGCCCTATCTCACTGACTGCCTGCAAAAACAAAAATACAAAAAAAAAAAAAAAACCAAAACAAGGAAAGTATGAGACCTGACCCAAAAGATGCATGAGTAGGTGGGGGAATGAAGGTTCTAAGAGCCTGGGAGTTGTTTCAGGGGTCGGGGAGGGGGACAAACAGCTCCTGTTTGAGGCAGGAAAGCACCTTCTCTGATGGAAATGAATTACCTGCTGATACAAACAATTGCCTTATCAAGCAGATCTTCCCAAAGGAAGGTGAGAGAGACTTCAGCAGGTGCTTTTCCTATATCATGTAAAACAAGATACAAATCATCACTAGGGCTTCACAAACACATTTTCACAATGAAAAGTGAGTGTGGGGGAAAAAGACAAGGGTCCAATATACAGCTACAGAGATGCCCGGGATGGTGACAAGTTGCTGCACATAGGATCCTATGGAGTCTCCTGGAGGAAGAGAAGACAAGCCACTGGTGAATCTGCGGCTGTAGGAAATTGGGCTGTGGATGAGTCAAGCAGGAAGGGGGAGCAGAGACAAGTTCAAGAAAGAAAGAATTCTAGCAGCGCTGGGTAATGTGTGGGACTCACGCATTAGCCCCTTTGCTTGAAAACTTGAAGAATCCTAAGAGAACAAACCAGCAGAGTTTTCCATGAAGAGTGGATTCCACAGTTTACCTCCGATAAACCCAGGCCTGAGGGTGAGGTTTGGATGGTGGACGCTGGCTAGCTTTAAGGGCTGTCAAAACCGTTGGGAAAGCACATTTTCCGCAGAAAAATACCACTCGTGTGCGATCACAGAGATACAAATCAGTGATGCCAGGGAGCAAGCGTCTGGAAGTGGCAGAAGAGGGAGGAGTTGTTGGAGGTGTTATACGAACTCCAATTTGTTTATCAAGTATAGGGTGATTATTCCTAAATTACAATATAGCTCAGTATCAAAACTGTGGAGTCAAGTCAGGACCTTCTGATGCTATTATGAGCATATTACTGATGCCTAGTAAAATAACATCTTGTAATGCTCCTTTTATAAGTGCCATAAGTCAAAACATTGAAAACAGTTAATTTTTAATGCATTGCTATTATCCATCTTCAGTTATAAATTGAATGTCTCCTTAGGTCTCACAGATTGTAATGTGATTCAAAACATGTAGTGGCTGTTTTGAAATGGAAGGTTCCCTCAGAATTTCATTACTGAAATCCTTAAAGATATGGTTTTAAAAGCCTGAGGCTATCTGAGCAAACTTGTTTAAAGGAGTCATAAAGAAAGATAAGTAGTTTTCCTCAGAAGCCTATAAAATTTATTACAACATATTAAAGTTGGATTATGCATTGACTAATTTTCTGAAGACTTTTGTTTTCTGGGGTGCATGGTACTTGGGGGAAATTTATAAGGAAATAAAGGGGATATAGGGCTGGATGTCAGCTGACTGCATTTGCCTTGAGCAAGGCAAGATTTTCTATGGGTAATAGAGCCAATTTCCTGCTAAAGATGACAACGATGCTCATAGCTCAGGGAATGGCACAATGGATGTCTTGTGAAAGAGCAATAAAAATCTTTATTATTTAGGAGGAGACACAAACGCAGGCCTAACACAGTGATGATGGCGCAAGAAGCTGCTGGGAAGGAGAAGCCAGAGCAGAAACTGCACTTGTGGAGGTAACTCCCAAACTCAAAGCAGTCCTTCACCAACCCATTCCTGTTTTGGGTAAAAGTCACGTTGATTTTTAGAATTTGTTGTTGTTGTTGTTTTTAAATTATTTCCTTGAGAGGCAGAGGGCTAGAGGTAGAAAGAATGGAGGGGAATGAAAAGAGGAGAGAAGGAGGGAGGGAGAGAGGAAGGGAGAGAGCATGAGTCAGCAGACAGCTAGTTCCAAGCCATGAGCGTGCTCCCTCAAAGGCCCACAACGCCTGGCGGAGCTGAAGGCTGCAGCCAACAACTCAATGCAGTTCTTCCAGGGTCTGTGTTCACAACGAGCGGGACTCGAGCTAACACCAAGACTTGAACTCAGGTACTCTGATGTTGGACAGAAGCACTGTCACGAGTATCATCCACTAGACCGCATGCCCACTCCTGCATGTCTGTGATAAATGGCTTCTTCCCTTAATTTACACTTTCCCTTTTCTTCCTTTGGATGCCAGTTAATAGATGGTGTCTCAGGTTTCCCCACCTCCTTACACTGACTGATTCACCTTTGGAATCACTTTGCAGTAGACAGCATTAGTTCTTGTTCCTTTACCCATGCAAAGGAGAAGAGACACGATATTCTAATACGAACACGAAGCAGGTTATACTGGCAGCAAGCAGACCCAGCAGGCATTATATATCTTCACTCTACAAAGACGTTCTATTTGAAAACTGGCCCCCCATGTCCTTCCCACAAGGGTAACAAGAGGATTAACTGGAAGTATGATGGGATAAGGTACAAACTGCCGCCTATGGGCCAAACACATGATTCTTGGTTAAGGTTTGTGTGATGTACTCTATCACGTTACATAGGAAGGCAAGACTTGGGGGCGGGGGTAAGGACGCACATGCTAAACTGTACCAACTCTACTGATTCCCCAGTACTGTGATTTTTCAGATTTAACCCATGAAAAAAAGAACTGCATGTTGAACACTGTCTAATCACCATGACATACACAATCTATGGCATTCCTTGTTCCAAATAAAATGCCACAAGCAATGTTACAAAGCGCAAGGTTATATTCTGGGTGACTATATGTATGTTCAATTCCAGGGAGCGTGCATCTTGGTGTTAGCCGGTCTGTGGCACACAGGACAGGGCATTTCCCAGCAGCACAAGTTGCTAGAGCTCAACGGTCCATTTATAAGCACATGGTGATTATGTGCCCCACTATTCAATTATAATGAAGATGGAAGTAAAGGACAGGCTTTTAGTACCTAAAAATCAGGTTTTCAAAGTCCTGGAAAATGCAAAGCAGTGTACGTAATTTATAACACAAAGTTTCACAGAAGCACAATATTTGGTAAGACAACAGATATGAGGCTACCAATCTGACCTGCTGGTAGTGACATTTCTCTCCTCATTCATTTAAATAGTTCTTTACCCATCCACCATCACTATGCCTTGAGCCTAGTGTTTCTTCCAAAATGCCATAGAGGAGATCTCATCATCCATTAAATGGACTTCTGAGAAATGACAGCTTCATGAATACACAGTTTTATTTTCCTTGTTCCTTGCCAAAACTTTTGACACAACCAGAAGGACATCAGAGTCACCCAACACTGGCAGCTCTGGCAACAGCAAGCAGTCGGCTGAAAACTATGACTGCAAAACTGTGACAAGGTCTGAGTCTACAACCATGTCTTAAGAAGAGTGTATAAATCCTAGAAAGGGCGCAGTGAATATCTTCAATAGCACAGAAACATTCTCATCGTGTTAAACCCAGCCCCAACAAGGCAGAGCAGTCATGTGGCTGGGGGGTGGGGTGGCAGGGAAGTGAGGGTAGATGGAGGAGGCTCTTGGGAATGGTCAGGGCATGAGGGCATTCCGCACTCACAGAACACGGCAGCAGACACATGGCACAGTCACAGACATCAGCGAGCACAACTGAACACGCACACAACACTAGAATGCATTTTTGTTTTTGTTTTAGAAAAAAATGATATAAAAGATGATTTCTCACCCCTCAAAACAAAACTGGAACTTTGGTTTACAGGCCCGGCTATGCCCATATGCCCTCCTCGTCATCCTGTGGCCGGCCCGGGGTCGGGGGTGGGGTGCAGAGAGAGGAGGAGAGCACCAGAACGAGAGAAGAGAAGGTTAGTTACACCATGATGCACTGTACAGGCACACTCATTGACACTTTGCTTTTCAATCTTAAAAGAACAAGGAAAAACAAATCTCCAGTACCTTAAGTTTCACATCACCAGCTTGTCAAATACATCACCCAGTTTTGTATCCATGGCAACCCCACACAAAAACATTCCACCCACCCAGGTCTGCCTCTGTGTCAGGTGGGACTACAAGATTCAAATTAGTCCATATTAAGATTATTATTATTATTTTTTTTTTTTGGAAAGCATGCGATCTGAACTGCATTATGCCTAAGGAGTAGATTAAACCTTTTAAGTAAGCAAAGAAGTAATTATAGTAATCAAATATCCTTAATTTTTCTTGACGTTTAAAGTATCAATAAAGGTTGAAGGAGAATTAAAACACACACACGTCCCACTCTATCGGCCTGGGTGGAGCAAACATTTTTAGCATGCGGTAATTCATGGTGGTGAATTACAAAGGATCAAACACGCTGTGTTCTTTTGACTTTTGTCAGGTTCTATTTTGCTCTCCACAGAGAAGAGGATGTGCATGCCATGGAATGATTACACATTTGCAGGAAATGATTATACATTTGCAATCAAATAAGTTTAAAAGAAACGAGAGTAAACTTCCAATTCAGTAGAGTGCTTGTAGAAAGGAAGTTTTGTTTAACTTAACATTGTGTTCAACTGTGGATAAACTGAAACTTATTTGGTCTGAATTCTTGTTGAAAAATGTTTCCAAAATGGCTCTGGTCACTTTTCCCCTTGGTGAAGTGGGTAGTAAGGCAGGCAAATCAAATCTTGGCAATAGAAGCATATCTATTATCACAAGGCCCTGGTGACGGCAATGATGGGAGCAAGTGGGTAAGGCTGATCCCTATCCTGCGACTTTTCACAAATCCCCAATAGAACCGCATTTTTGCCATGATTTCTTTCTCTGTTTTGAAAACCAGGGACAAGAAATAACAACTTGGAACGCTTTCTCACTATTTGCATCGTTATTGCTTAAGTTGTTAGAATACCAGGTGGAATCATATGAAAACGCTGCTATTTGATCATGGTTTTTTTTTTTTTTTTTTGACCTGGAAACAACAGCCATCTCAACACAGTGCAAATCCTGCCAAGGTAATTTTTATCTACTCAAGGATTTACATGTGTGGTCTCTGAGCTGACATTCACTGTAATTTCTTTCCTTTGTATGTCTCTGTCTTTTATTGTCAGTGTTTCAAAACCTGACTCTGAGGAGTGGTGCAGAGAGTTCACCAGACGGCAGGAGGGACCTGGGCTTCATAGTTACAGGGTCCCACATTGACTTGAGTCAATCCAATTACTGGTACGGACTCTGACTTGGACAACCCAGCATGAATTTTCACTTGGTAGTTTAGGTAGAAATATTCTGGCAGAAAAAGAAGGTACATTGGCTCATTTTAGCTGGGTCTTCTTCTGGGAAAATTATCTGGGCTTATTTATTACTCAACAATCTTGTAACTGCTCCTGGCAATTGATGTTCTTTTTCCCTATATGACCTGGGAAAAATGCATTTTCACATCCACTGTACTTCCTCCTCATCCCGGGAGAAAAGCAAAGTTGATGTTGCTTTTCATGTTAATGAAGATGGAAGTCTACATCAGGGGACCCTGGGGCACCCACAAATGGGTGTCCAGGGGTCTTGCAAGTTCTTGAAATACAGTGCAGAACATGGTAGGTTATGTGTGTAAATATAATTGCCTGGATGGAGGCCTGAGCTTTCATCACAAGGTTCTTGAGCCTCCAACGTTGCTGTGGTAGGAATACTCGAGGCATAGAGAGATGTCAGGATTTGCCAAAGTCACAAAAAACCCAGAGGCTTTCTCTTCAAGTTATTGCCCAGCTCCTGTTGAAGGCTTCCAAAATGGGCTATAAAGGAACTTTCCTTGCTGAGCGGTTGACTTCATCTTGCATTTTACACTCAATAGCATGTATACATTCAGTGTGTTCCAAATCCACTCACACAGGGTTTTAACTTTTCAAAAATTAGAAGACAGACAAGCCACTGCTGCCCAAATCTGCTGCTGTTTTCTTAACAGCAAAATGTGGTCTAATGCAAATCGCTTTTAGCAAATTAAATATATTAAAAAGTGGCAATTAATTATGATTGAAACAGACAGGAGTTTTAGCTTGAAAATATACACTGCCAATATCACTACTGTTCCTCGTCCACCATAGGAATAAAAAGGAGCTCCCAGATGTCGAGGGTTATTAAAAACCAGATGTTGAGATCGACGTCTTGTATGCTGGTGAAAAAAGTAAAGAAATATGACAGTCCAACATAAACTTTGCTAACATTTCACATGGCAGAAATGTGGATAAATTCCTTTCGTGAACTCAAAATATTATGCATTTTTAAAAGTTTTTGCTTTTTAAAACTTTCTCCAAGAAAAAAGAAAGGGAAGTGGTGGCCATTTCTGGTCTCTCTAATCTTCAAAGCTTAAACATGAATTGACCCTCATCACCCAGTGATTTGGGCCAGGGTGGGTGTCCGTTTGGGGAATGAAAGCCAAAAACACAGGAGCTGATCAGAGAGGCAGCTCTAAGTCTTTCCAACCTCGGCAGCTGTTACTCTATGCCCCTGCCCATATCTGGGTCAGCAAATACTCATTTGTTCTGCAACCTTCCCACACAGAAATGTAAATTGAGGAACCAAGGATTTAAAAAATAAAAAGATAAGCATCATTTCATCCCAAACTGTATGCCAAGTTACTTTAAAGTACACAGGAGTTTTAAAATGCATCTGTGGGGGCCGGGAGAGTCTATTTCCTTTCCTTGTTTTTCTGTTTTCAGACAGGCTCTTGTGACTTCCGTGGATGTTGCCTGGTGTCTGAGTCCTTGTGTGTCCTTTCTGAGTGAATGTTCTGCCACAAGTTGCCAAAATGTCTGTGCAGGAAGTAAGTCTCTGGCCCAGCAGTCATCCAAGTGCTTTGGTGCACAGTGTTTGAGGATGGAACCTCCAAGAAGAATGGAAGCCCATGGCAGAACGGCCACAAAATGCAAAAAAAAAAAAAAAATCTGAATAGAGGGGGAGGAAGACTGAATGATGCAACTGTGGCTACTACATCTCTCCGTAGCTCCAAGGGTAAGGGAAAGGACATGAGGCCTTGATACAAAGTCCTGGAGTCACACATATGGGGGGCCCTGCTGGGTGCTCTAAATATTGAAAAAGAAACAAAATTCCTTTGAGCATGAGCTATTCACTGCAACTAGGTTGAGGACAAGATCCCAAACCAAGGGGGATGTGTCATTGTTGCTGAGACAAGAGACTTGTTACTGCGAGGGACATTTATGAGCCTGAGCAATGATGCTCTGAGGAGGGATGCCACCAGCTGATGTGAGAAACAACCCAGTGTGAAGTCTTCCATTGGTCTCTATTGGGAACAGTCAAGTCCAGCCAGCAGGCAACATGAGCCCATTTCTGTGTTGTTATTTGTTCTTGCTATTCCTTTTTTTCCCCCTTTTCTTTATGCAATTCTCTTTTGAGTTGATAACTGGCTTTTTCTTAAAGTTGGAAGACTAGGTTCCTTATGGGAACCTTACTGTCACACCTGTCTTATGGAGAGGAGCTCTTGCCAAGAGCCCCTTGCCTTTTGCGAACCCAGCCCTGGTCTCTGCCAGAATGTCCAGCCTGGCTTCCTCACCCGAAGGGGCACACAGGATTATCTTGGTTAGATTTTGGTCTGATATGGCCAGTCTTTGGACCTACCTCCACTGCTGTTCCAGGACATACCAGATCCTCTGAAGTTCAGAGCCCTAGGTCTCTACAAACTTTGGCAGCACAAGTCATGAAGGTGGTATCACAGGGTAGGATCAACAACATGCCCAGAACCTGGGTGCGACCAGGGCAGATGTCCCTGGCATTTCTAACTGCAAGTTGGCCAGACCCAGGAAAGACATTCGTGTGTGTAAATGGCAACAGCAGATTAAGGTGCGAGCCTAAGGACTATACTGAGCCTTGGAGGGCAAGAGCATGTTTCCCTCCTTTGGTCAAGTGGAAATTTTCCTTCCAGAGACTGCTCATTTAATGTCTCCTGCCTGCTGGGATGCTGAGCTCATGGACAGCTGTCTCTGTTGAAAGTGAGGGGGTCCAGTGTGGCTGTAAAGGCTCACGTGACTGGTATCTGTTACAGCCTGTGGGACACATCTGCAGTCACGTTTCCCCCAGAGAACAAGAAAAGTTCTAGCCAGGTTCAGGTACCTGCTTCCTGCTCTGTTTAAATATAAGTTTAACTTATTTCTGATCTGGTTTAGAAAAGAGCCAGCACATATTAGCACCTTCACCAGGTTGGACAGAGTGCTTTTGGCGTTTCCTCGTCTCCCAACAGTCCTGAAGACACAGGTGCCAGAAGGCTTTCTATGCAGATGTGTGAAAACCCAGCGAGGGGAAAGAGGTCAGGCAGTTCATCCAAGGACACCTGGCCAGGAGCTGTGGCGCCAGGGTCACATGCCAGTCTGTTTAACTCCAGAAATACACCTGTCTCACCCTACCACTTGAGTTGGGAAGCCCCAGAGAGACGAGCTCGTCCTCATCCCAAAAGGCATTAATTCATCGGTTCTGCTTAGCTCAATTCTGCAATAGTTTCAGCTCGGTACTTCCCTCTTGCCAAGCTGTTCAAAGTCCTGGTTGAAAGGCTGTGTCCCTCTGGCTCTTGGAAGAAAGCAGTCTTCACCTGCAAATGGAAGCTGCTTCCAAAGACCTGTCAGCAGATTTTAAGATTCCCCAGGTTCAAGGCAGCACTTTCTTAACCTGCAGAGTGCCTCACAAGGTCTTCAAGATGCGAACTTGAGTAACCAGGTGAGGCTCTTGCTTTGTTGAATCACTGGACTCCTTAGTGAGTCCGGCACGTTTCAAGATTTGAAATGTGACTAAGCTGACTAAGGTTTGCTCGGGATGACAGCT